GCAGCACCTTGGAAACCTTTGAAATATATGTAATATGTAGAGTGAATAATGTATGTAGTAGTCTTCAAAGAAATGAACACCGGAAAATATTGTGTTATAATTTAAATACGAAAAATGTATGAGACCATGCACCATGTTGGCGTCCGCCAGCAATCAATATGTAAATAATTCTAGTAATGCGAAAGCTTACCGTTCAGAACAAATATCACAGCACTGATAGGCACACAACAAGGTCTAAAACTAATGTTTTAATAAATTATTGGTCGTAAAAAGCAAAAAACTTGTGCAAGAAATAATGCCTTTTCCTGATGCCGAAAATGACGCCTCGCGAAAAATGCAAATCAGCATCTTTGAAATCAGCATCCACGAGTAAGTTGCCTTGTAAGCAGGGCCTAGGTGGCGCTGACGACAATCAAAATCTTGGTCTGACCTTGACTATTTGAGTGAGGCCCCCATGATCGATAGAAGTGACAAGAACTGCCGTATACGTAGACGCTTGTCCAAGCTGGTGAAGTGCCGTTTGGTACGCATACACAACACGCATACTTCCGCGGATGGTCAACGCAAAGAGAGTTATTTTTCTCAATTTATACAATTAAAGAAAAATTGGGATATGTATGTTTTTGTATTGCACAAAGACACGGATTTTAAATGCCAAATACTTTTTAATTTGTAATTTACCGAACGAGGAACCGAACTCAACATGATTAATAAAAATTAGTAGTGATAAATAAGCTTGGAATTGTTCAATGCCGTATTATTGGGTCTCCGTTACTTCTTATTTACCTAAATGACCTTCCTACTTATATGCAGGGTTCAGAGTGCAGCATAGTAAACTATCGAAACACCAATCTCTTAGTTGCCAATAAATAGCTTCATGAGCTTCATTTAAGGGTAACAAATTCTTCTCAGTTGCGAAATTGTAATTTGACAGTAACGAATTAATTTTAAATGTTTTACATTTCGAACCTTGATTAAATATTTGAATTAAAACACTATACGCCCCCGATGCTTTTCAAACTTTGAATCCTGAATGACATGGAATAATACTTTTGGGTAGTATGAAAAACATGGAATACATTTCACTACAATTTAAAAGCGAGTCTTTAGCGTAAATTATAAACTAAGTTTTAATGAAAGCGGCAGATCCTAGTTTGCAGAAAATGGATATTAACTGTCTTCGGTAAATACGTACTTAGTTTGTTAAAAATGTTTGATGTTTCTGAACAAGAACCAACATTTTTGGCGAGAATTTAAGAACTGCTAATATACATCTTCCGTGTAAAGTTGCCCAAAAATAACCAGCTAATGTAAAATATATACAGAATTTCAGAAATTTTAAATTAAAGGTTAAAGAGATCTTAATGAAACTAGAACCGTATACTTTACCTGATTTGTTATTGAATTTTTGGACACTAAAAAATTTTCATTTGATTTTTTAAAATCTTATTTGTAACAGTTTTTGATAGTTTTTATCCATTTTTACGCCTTTGATTTAGCTGTAAGTAATGTATGTTTACATGTTTGTACTTTCTAAAACAAATACTAACCATAGAAAGGAAAGCATAGTTTTGCTTATAGTCTGATCATGCGCAATTATACTTGGTAATATACCTGGAATGATTTTTAACAAAATCCTTAATTTCCAACAGAGCCCAATCACTTTATTGCACATGCAAAGAAAGTCATAGTAATTTGGTGCTTATGTGGTGTCATGTTTTATTTAATAACATCTTGTTCAGTATTACATAAGACATTTTACGACTTAATTATTAAGGAATTTTTTTTTAGAATCGAAAAAAACAAGGCTACGTCGAGCGAGTAGCGCAGTTGCAACGGGCCTTGTATTCTCTTCAAGTGGCAAGTGACCGACGGGAGGACACTGAACGAAAATTACGATTACAACTCGAAATCGAGTTGCAGAGAACAAAAGTAGTCCGAGGTAAATAATGTCCGATGGTCCGATGTTAATGTTTTATTGCAAACTCACATGTATGAGAAAAAAATGGAAATAAGTTTTCGAAAATTATCACTTGGTCGTCTGGCATCAAGAAACGCGATTATTAATTCAAACTTACGTTCAATTTGCTTAGGTTCCATTTTCTTAGGTGAACGTAAAAGCGGTTGGGATTCACCCAATGGGTCTGGAAGCGAATCAGCTTCAGAACTGAAACGACAACTAAGAGAAAAGGATGAAAATATTATGAGACTGGAAGGTGAATGCGCTAAATGGGAACAGAGATATTTGGAGGAAAATGCTTTGAGGCAGGCAGCTATTGACGCTGCCAGCATTCCAAAGTAAGTAAAATTTGAAATTTGCTTTGTTTGGTACTATTTTGGTTATGTTTGATTTTTTAATTTATTTTTAATATATTACTCCTTTTTCTTTTTGTGCCTTGTGCTTAGCCGTACGTTGGCGAGTGTATGTATTCTTCAATATGTAGAGTGCCGTGTTTTCGGCTCTTCGAAATGTGGTGGCTGCGCCGCTGATCATACACCAGTCCTGAATGTTTCATAGTCAGGAGTGTTTCTTTCTTCGTTGGCATCGACGCCCCTCTATTCTTCTTTTGTGGAATTAGTTTTAAAATGTAATTTTTGCTTCCTCTAAGGATATGGCCGAATTATAAAAATGTTCTTTCTTTAACGAAGTTAAGTAGTTCTCATTCGCAAGCTGCAGTTCTTAAATGTTTTCATTCGTGGCATGTGCGGTCCATGGCACGCCCAAGAGTCTCGTTCGTTGATCATGGTGCCCAGATATTTAAGTCGTGATCATCATCAGCCTATACTGACCACTGCTGGACAAAAGTCACTCTCATATTTTTGCCATTATTTCAGGTTTTCAGGTCCTGGGCCATCATCATCCAATTTTCAGCGAGTCTCTTTATGTTGTCACTCTATCGGGCTGGTGGGCGTCCTCTATTTTTATATAATTCCACTCTTGGTCTCCATCGTAATATTTTTTGTCCGTCGACCATCGGTTACTCTGGCCACATGAGCCGCGCAGTTCCACTTCATGCGCAGAATGATCTCGACAGCATCTCTTACTCCTGTGTTGTGTTGGATGGTTCTATTTGGGATTCTATCTTGGAAGGTTATTCCCAGCACTGATCTCTCGATCTTACGTTGCATGATTTGCATTTTTTGAATGTTGTTCTTGGCCATTGTTAATGTAGCCGGATGTAAAAACCGGGAGAACGCATTTGTTAATTTTTTTTTACCTTCCTTTTTAGACACCTTGGGAGACTGGATCGGAAAACTGTTCTTAATTTTCCATAAGCTGCCACCTAAAACCTATTCTATCCTTTATTTTATGTGTTTGATTGTCTTCCAATACTTATCTCGTATCCCAGATATTTGTATAGACCTACTTGTTCTATGTTATTGTTGTTAATTTTGATGGAATCACTCAAGATGAGATTAATCATATACTGGGTTTTTGAAATATTTAATTTTAGCCCCATCCTTTCTGCCGCTATATTCATTCCTATGTTGTCCCAGTTGATTTTGTTTAACATGCTCTGTAACAAGCTGACGAACGGTTTAAGGGAGAGCACATCGCCCTGCCTCAGTCCTATCTCGATTTTACATTTATTTGTATATTGTTCGTTGGATAATTTTACATTTGCTGTCTTGTATATATATCTAATAGGTGTAGAGTATTGATGGTCTATACGGCATTCGACAAGTGCTTCTAATAGTTTCTGTTGGTCTATTGTGTCGAATACCATCTTAAAATCTAGGAAAATCAGCATTAGGGTCTTATTGTATTCTATGCACTTTTCGATAAGAGCTTTTAATGTGAGAAGGTGGTCGTTTGTTCCATATTTTGTTCTTAATCCTGTTTGCTCTTTTGAAAGAAAGAACTCGAGTTTGTTTGTTAAACGTGTGGTTAAAATCTTCGTGTACAATTTGTAGATGTGACTTAAAAGCTGATCGGTCTATAATTTTCAAGATCTGTGTTATCTSCTTTTTTATGTAAAAWAATAATTTGTGTGTTTTCCCATTGAGATGGTGTTATGTTACACCTTCGAGTAGACATTTATTAAATACGATCTTCAGGGTTTTAATAATGCTTTGTCCATTATATTTTATTCTTTCCATTACTAGACCGTCTTCGTCTAGTGCTTTATTATTTTTCATGCTCTTCTTAGTTAATAGTACTGTGGATGATCCCAATGGGTCTGGCAAGTAGGCCTTAAAGGCCCTTTTCACTATTCCATTAAGGGCGCTTGGTACCTGTATGTTACTTAGCCCTATGTGAGGTTCGCCAGTTATTGGGCTCTCAGAAGATCCGGAACGAGCACCCGCGAACCCCGCGTGGGCCGGAATCTACAACAGGTTTACCTGTTTCTGTTCTGCCACTTTATTCAGGACATCCCAGCACTCCTGTATCAGTCTCCTGCCCATCCTAACACTGAGAAGGCCGCCTGGCTGTCAGAGTAGATCTCAATATCTCCTTCTAGTCCCTCTATGACCTCCTTGTCTGTGGCAACCTCGAGGATTGCATATAGTTCCGCCCGAATGGCTGTCGTCCACCCTCCCAACGAAATGGATTCTCCCCGATTGGTGTCTTGCCGGTACACTCCCGCCCCGGACAATCCTATACTGGGCGCCCTTGAGCCGTCGGGGTACCAACATTGCACCCCCTCTCGGGCAGTCACCGTCCTAGAAGTCCAACTTTCTTTTGCTGGGATTTCCACCTCAAACTTCTTTTCTAACCTAAGTCCGCTGTCAGGTGGGGCCACCTTTGCAACTGGGATTGGAATATCCCGACGCATGGCAACCCCTATTATTTTGTGTCCCTGACTCTTGGAGTCGCATTCCATCCTCTTTAACGCCGCGGCGGCCTCCCTACGTATCCGCAGGGGTAATTCTGGGAGACTTAGGAGGATATTCAATGCTATAATATGGTGTCGTCCTCATTGCTCCTGTCATCGCTAAACAGGCCTGTCTTTGCAGACCCGCCAGTTTCCGGGATACGAAAGCCTTCTCCACCACCGTTCACCAGACCGCGGGGCCGTAACAGATCCTCGGTTCCATGGCGGCAGTGTACAACGACTTCATAACGTGTGGTTTCAGGCCCCAGTTTCTTCCCAGTGCTTGGTTCAGATGCCACATAGTGACGGTAGCCTTCTGTATAAGTTTCTCTACGTGGGGGTTCCACGTGAGTTTACTGTCTAGGGTCACGCCCAAGTACTTGACCTCTCCGCGGGGGTAAGAAGCTTTCCGTACAGCGTTGGGGCCCTATAGTCCCTTAATTGTCTTCTCCGTGTAAAGAGCACGGTCTCCGTTTTACTGGGATTAACTGATAATCCAGCATCAGTGCACCATCTCTCTATTGTCCTACACGCAACCTGCATTCTCTCGCAGACAACGCCCAGGAACTTGTCCTTAACGAGAACTAGGCAGTCGTCCGCATAGGCCTGCGTGTAGAAGCCACCCTGGTCTAGCCGCCGTAGGAGCCCGTCCATAACCCGGCACGGCTGGCGGGACAAAAGGCAGCCGCCCTGTGGCCAGTCCGCTCGCCTCCGGGCAGGCACTGGCCGTGAGGCTCACTATCGCACTCCAGACCCAGTTTGTTATTGAGTCGGGAGCTCCTTTTCATTTGAGAGCATTGCAGAGGTTGCTTGTTGTTCTGCCCTTATCAAAAGCACCCTCTACATCGAAGAAGGGGGCTAGTGTCACTTCCTTATCTTGTAATCCCTGTTCAGCTTTTTGCACCAGAGCGTGGACAGCCGTGTCTGTGGACCTTCCTTTCCTGTATGGGTGCTGGTTACTGTCCAGCGGAGTCCTCATTAGGACTTCCTCTGTCAGATACCTGTCTATCATTTTTTCCCACGTATTCCTCTTTAAATCTGCGATGATTTCTGGTTCACCTGTCTCAGAAATGTATTCCGATCCTTGGTTGAGCACTTAAGGGATATTGGGCTTTAACTCGTTGTTTGGTGTTGAATATAGTTGTGTGTAAAAAGTTTCGATAGTCGTTATTATGTCTCTTTTGTTCGTCATTATGTCCCCATTTTGGATTTTATGTATGTCCTTCTTCCACATCACATTTGTCTATCTGAGAACTTTCAAGCTTCTGTTTTCTTCTGTTATGTATTCAATGTTTTATGTGTTTTTTTCTCTTTTATGTTTCCTCATTTCTTTGGTAATTTATTTGTTGATATTTCTGCACTCTGCAATAGTTTTATCTGTCATTTATCTTCTCTGTTTCATTAGTGTCTTTGTTCTTTGATTTAGTTTTCGCTCCTTGTTTTGACTTTGGCAATTATTTCCAATTGCTGCATTCACACTCGCTGTAATATTTACGTACATTTTGTCCACCTGTCAGGTGATCGTTTATCTTTAGAGCGTTATTCAGTTGTGCTTCGTACTCATTTAGGTTTTTGGGAGTGTTCCATTTCTTATAATTTTTATTTAAGATCATGTTCGTTCTTTCCTTCCTTATATTTATTTTCTGTCTTGCTCTTACGATTCGATGATCGCTTCCTGTCGAGAATCTATTTAGTCCTTCTACGTTAGGTACTGACAATATCCCTACTGTTCGTTGTGCATACGAAGTCTATGGCATTTTTAGTTTTACCGTCTGTGCTTATCCATGTCCATGTTATCATATGGCTGTTTCGGCTTCATCCATTTTACTTCCAATCTTGGCATTGAAGTATGATCTTAAGACAAGTTTAGTTTATTGTAGATAATTAACATTCTCACTAAATTATGCTGAATTTGCAGAGACGCTAAGATTGCCGCTTTGGAGAAAACTAGCCAAGAAACAGAAAAAATAATTGCTGAAGCAAGAAATGAAAAAATTAGACACATGGATGAAGTTCATGCTGCACAGAAGAAAGTTGCCGATTTAGAATCTAGGTAATGAGTTGGAGATAATAAACTAATTTGAACGATTTTTAATATATTTTTTTGCTTCTTAGATTGAAAGATTTGGAATCTAAGTTAGCAGAAAAAGATGCAATGATCAGAGTGCTTCAAAAGCATACATACGATAAAGATGTTTCGATGTTGGGACGGTCGCCTCATCATACTCCTCATTCTAGTTTAGGCGGTACTGATATCGATCTTGGCCTCGGAGCGACTGTTTCCCGAGAAGAATTAGGTATGAACATTAGATTCTCACTACATTTTCTAAAATTTTGGTCACCATACAGTGTGGAACTGGCATAGGACGAAATTAAGTGACATTATAAAGTGCAAATATTTCAGGGTACATACGCACTAAGCGGGTACCCGTGATGCGGCCTGCCTCAATAATCCTTTCGAAAATGGAGGTTGACGAAGTCGTAACCAGTTATTACATCTATAAACGTTATATAAGAAAGAAAAATAGGTAGTACTAGGAACATTCTTTTTTGCGAACCCGAGAAGAAACCAAGCAGTTTGCAATATTTTCGAGTGTTACCCACGCCTATCATAAGGTTTTGATTTGAGCCAAAGAATGGATCAATACTCTTTTGATCATATGCTTACGGGACACCCTGTTTATTGGGTTTAACGAATATTTTTCTACGATCAATCTGTAATAAGTACTTTTTAGAAGTTCGACGTTAATAATTCTATTCCACAAAGCAAGTGAGAGAATTGGTTCACTAAAAATCTTGCATTTTCTAGCTAATTCTAAATTTTTGTTGTGTTTTAAAAGTAAGTCCTTAAGTTTCGAGCGCACTAAGAAGCAAAGTGATTCATTCTGGTATTTGATTTTAAGTTTTTATAGTATTATTTTAATTCAATAATTCTTTATTTAAATACTGCAATTTACAATCAGCATTTGTTTTTTTAGTCAGCAGCGTTTTGACTAATTCGACAGCCTACGGTTCGGGCAATTCGTACACTGGTAGCGATACCTCGTACCATATGGCGACATACAGTCAATACGATACAAACAAAAATTTCGATGCCACCAAGAAACAGTTGGACAATCAGCTGAAAGAAATTGACAGTCAGTTGGACACTCAGCTCCTAAGCAAGGTAGGAGAGACAGAGACTTTTTACTGAGTATGGAGTGTCTTAGAAATTTAAGATTTGATATTTGGAATTATGTGCTTTGAAGAAAGTAGAAATATTGTGGTTCTTGAAGACCTTTAGTAGCACTCTTTCGAATAGAAAGCAGTTATTTATATGAGTCGTCATTTATCGAAAAACAGCATATTTTTGTATTAGAAGAAGTTTCACTTTTGTGCTGAAGCTGAAAGAAGTAAGGCTTCAACAATAGCTGAAACACAAAAAGTGGCTTCGCTTTCATAGACGTTTAGAGAAAAACTAAAAATCATTGATATCTGGAGTGCATAATTTCAAATACACAAAAGCCTCGCTTTAAACAATTCAATTTATATTTGGTACCAAAGATATTTCAGTTCATTATAGTATAATATATCTATTATATTTAAGAGTGAGCAATCCATTTGTCTTTTCAGCACATTTTATAGTGGGTGCGCAAGTTTTATTGTTATAACACTTCTTTTGTAGCAATCTACTTTTCAGGATTTGCAATGCTCATTTTTATGATGAAATAACTTTTAGCTAAACTAAATTTTAGCAATTATCAGCTATTCTGTTTTTTCTTAAATGTACTTTATCGCATTATATGTAGTCAAATTTTGATCATAATCTTCAACTTTTTTGTAAAGAAATTCAGAACTAGTACTTCTATTGGATTCCAAAATAGTTTCAATACGTTGCACATAATATAAAAGTTATTTTAGATATCAATTACCTCGAATATATTTTTATTTAACAATCATGTCATTAATAGCAGTTGTCCATTCAAATCATATTCAAAATCAAATTTATTTTTTATTACCTGTAATTGACCAAAGCAATTAGATTAACTTAACAAGTAGAAGTTATTCCCAAGCTTTTTTTAAAGTAATCTCGAATAATCGCAAATCTATACTTCTATTATGGAGTATGTGCGGTCTGCGACGGTAAACTTTATGTCTTTGTATAATTATATTACCACTAAAGGCGTGTTTTTTTTAAATAAAACTTGTCAATGATTGTGTATGAGAAAGACACTTGGTGAAGTATGATTTAAGGTAAACTTGTTCGCGTGTGTCTTGTTTGAGTGTGAAGTTTTGCGAGTTTTATACACATGAATAGTCAGACCTCAGATAATGTCTACGTTACAGATGTTCATTTTAACAATTCAACATTTTCACTGGACTGTCACATTTTTTGTTTTTTTATGCCGACGCTTAATTGTTTTACTTAACAGATTTGATGTTTAGCAAAAATTGTACATTTTTCACTAACATTTTGTTTTGCATGTACTTTGTCTTTTAGCATGATCAAATAAATTATTTTTAATTTTTGCGTTTTTCAAATTTATTTGTTTTTTCCTGTGCTGTCACGTTCCATTCCCTCTTAAATAACACCATTGTAAAAGCACTTAGCTTTTTAAATTTTATGTATTTATGATTTTAAAGCAGGTGCCGTAAGTCTAAATAGAATATTTTAAGGCTAAGGTATATGACTGGCTGGCTAAGGTGTTTTTAGGGGTATAGGACTTTAAACTGAAATAAACCTAATAAAAATCATCTTAAGCTCATGGTACTGGCTTTATTGAAGGCAATTGTATGTCATTAAAGCTTAAACATGATTTGGGGCATATGGGCGCTGCGGCTTGCTCGAATGAAAAGCAGCACGGAGGAAGCCCAATTGTCGACTACTTTGATTCTACCAAATCACGAAATGTCTCAATAATTGCTTCCGGATTTGGGAATTGTGTTGCTTCAAATTCGACAATTTATTTCGAAAATCGTTGTTCAGTTTGCTAAACTTACCGTGCGCTACGTTCATTGTACGGTCGACGTAATCGTTTTTGGCTCAATAAACGCGGCGTGAATAAACAAAACTTTCTCATTTGGAACAACGAAAATCCTGAAGATATATGTTATCTTGTATTGTTGTGTTATATTATATTAATACGTCATTACATCCAGACGAACTCACTGTTTGGCGTGCTTTATGGTCTGGTGGAATTTTGGAAGTCGTCGTAAATTGGATTTCCAGATAGCTCTTCATTCGAGCCAGTCGCGGCGTCCATATCCCCCCAATTTTGTTTAAGCTATAATGACATACAATTGCCTTCAATAAAGCCAGTACCATGACCCTAACATGATTTTTATTAGTTTTATTTCAATTTAAAGTTATATACCTTTAAAAAACACTATTTACATTAATATATATTATATGGCTTTGTAAAGTAACCGCATGACCCGAAGTGAAGACTTTAGTGAACAGCCACAAAGTTTAATTATTTTATGTTTTATGGATAAAAGGTCTGTTTCGCCGATGGGCATGACGTCACTTTAAAAGTAGGAGTTTCAAATCAGCTAAATTTGATCTATGTTGAAAGTGTGGATGGCTAACCGCAGATATACAGGGTGACCCACGAATATGGACTGATATCCGTAATTGAAAAAAGTAGTTACAATAGTTGCGAAAACTTCAGCTCTTGATAAAGTGGCTGGGTGGACATTTGAAATATTTTTTAAGTCTATTGTAAGTGGCTTATATTAAATGGAACTAGATTATATATGTTTCTTCTTCTTCTTTCATCCAATTAAGCACAATGTCTGTTCTGCATCGCAACTCGCTTTATGGAGGTAGATTGTCACTCCAACATTTTCGTGGTGTTCCTGTGCTTCATCTCCCCGAAGGTGATTTATCTCTGGCAATCTTCACTATTCGTTCATCTTCGTCATGCGTGTGATATGGCCATTCCATGCATTTTTCTACTCAGCACCCAGTTGTTTATATTCTCGATCTGGCATGCTTGTCTTATATCCGCGCTTATTTCCTTGTCCCGCAGTGGTTTTCCAGCTATTCTGCGAACTATCTTCATATCTGTTGTTTCCATGATTTGCATTGTTTTGGATGTTTCAGGTCTTGTGTCTGCCGCATACGTCAATATGGGTCTAATAGCAGTTTTGTAAATATATAATTTTGTGTCGTTGATTAGTGCAGCCGTTCTTGTTGCTTTGATAGCTGGTGCTCTTACTTCTGGTTCTACGTAGCCGAAGCTTCAAATTTTCGAATTTCATCTCTTGATGTACTGTCTTGTCATCGACCACTAATTTACATCTCAGAGGTGTTTTAGATGTGGTTATACATTTCGTCTTAGATATTGATATTGTCGTCTCGAGCGTTATTGCAATTGTGTTAAATGTACAAATAAACCTCTGCAGATCATGGATATCCTCTTTTCCTGCAAACTTGTCCTTTTATTTTGTCTATAATAAGATTGAATAGTAATGGGCTCAATGAGTCTTCTTGGCGTATTCCCCTCTCTGCAATTATTAGTTCTGTGAGTTCGTTGTCTATCTGCCTGTATTCGGTTATTTCGGTAAATATCTTCAATCATTCTAATGCTATTACTCTGTCATAGGGAAGATGCACTATATCTTCCAAACATATCGGGTCGAACGCCTTCTATCTGTAAAACGGAGAATGCTGGTTTTTTATACTTTGTAGACTTTTCGGTTATCTGTCTAATAACAAGCACTGCTTCATGACGTAATCTAAACCCTTATTATTCATCACATAATGCAATTCGTTCGTTTATTACATTCGTTATCCCTTTAGTGACTAGGTTTAGAGAGGACGGCAGTAAATTTATTCATCTGTAGTTCGCAGGCTCATTTTTATCGCCCTTCTTATAAAGCAGAATTGTCGTACTTGTTCTCCATTTATCGGGTTTTTTATGTTCAAATATTTGTTGCGTCAAATATATCAGTTCACGAACCAATCTTTTGCCACCATACTTGAGAGGTTTGTTAGTGGCGTCGTCTTGACCCGTAATTTTTCCTATTTTTGAGCTGATTTAATGCTTTGCTTATGACTCATTTATTGTAATTGAGTTTTCAATTGCGATACTGAGCGGGGCTTGTGGCGTGGCTACTGCCATACCCTTATAAAGATCTTTTAAATAGCCACTCACAGTCAAACGCTGCAGTATGGTTTTGTTGGATGCGACGAAATAAGTTGTCATTCGGCCATGATTTGAGTAGTTGGACCAAATCGGTTTGATTCGATATATCGTATAACGAATCATACAATATGTTGCAGTACCTCAATGTGAGATTTGATTTTTTTTATGTATTGTCATCTAAGAATCTGTTGTGCGATTTCCAGACTGCATAAAATATTTTAAAATTAATTTTGCAAATGACTGACATTAATTTTGCAAATGACCCCTTTAAGATAGTACTTGGAGCTGTATGAAGAAAAAGGAAGTCTTTTTTAAGTAACAAAATAAAAAATCCAGTATATAATGATAAAGCTGCTAGAAAGAAATGAATTTATATGTTGGTTGCCAAGTTTCAGGATTTAAAAGGAGATGCAAATGAAGATTTTGAATAAAAGATGAGAAACAATTTTAGAATATCGTGTAAAACGGAATTAAAATTAGTAAAGAAATTAAATTTAGTAAAAAACGCGAGCACGTCTTGTGTTGGGCTAGAAGAAATATATCTTCTATGTCTGGTCTTGCCAAGAATCAGTTTTTGCACCATTAATCTACGTTTTGTATATTTTTTTGCAATTTTCGAATGTAAACAATTGTTCTTATAAACTTTTATTTTACAACAGCAAAAATATTTGATGCGTAACTGACTTGAGTCTAATTTGCATGCAGTCATGCGCGCTACTTTTATACTAAACAAATGCTAGATCGGCAATATTCTTATAAATATACATTACCCATCAAATTAGCAGCAAACGTCTATTTTCATCCGATATATTTATCGTGTAAAGGCAAGACTTCGATTACAGAATCTTTATGTGTGTCTATGTGTACTGTCTTACTTACTGCAAAATTGTACGTCGGCGTTGGACAGTGAATGGCGGCCTTAATAGAAAATCATGAACATTTTTATTATATATATTTAAAAGTGGTATATTTTCTCTATTAAAAAATCCTTATCTCCTGCAAAATTAAACGCTAACTTTAGTACAGCAATATAAATAAAAAAATAAACATAAATAATTATTTTTGAAGCAACGTATTTTTCTTACATTCAGAATAAGTTTGACGATAATCATTCACAACTTGTAAACTGTAACTTTTGACTTTCTTCATTTATTATAATATTATTATGCTCTTGCATTAACTTTATTCCCCTTTCTGCGACATCGTTAACAACTAGTAAGTTTTAAAAAATATTTAACCCTTTTTAATAATTTTCTCGGATGTCCCATGTGTCAAGTGGGATACTTAAGAAATCAGTTGATATTTGAAATGTTCTGAAAAGGTTGAATGTTTCAGATGATACAAAATTACAGATTCCTAAAAGCTTGGTGGGCTCTACCATTTTCAGGCTTGGCACATTCGTATCAAAAAATGTAAGACCAACATTTTCAGGAGAGAGATGCCACAGGTATCCTCCGAATGTATTAATTGCTACTTGAGAAATAAAATAATCCGGATATTTACTAATTCTCTTGAAAAACTAAAGATCTTGAAAAGGAGCTTCTATTGCCTCACGAATCTAAAGTTTCAAATACCGCAGTTGCTTGTTCTTTTCCTATTCCAGTTCTTAGTTTTGGTACGCAAAGTAATTGAGTCCACACTGTACACAATAGTAGTAGCCTGTTCAGTTTTTCGTTTCTAGCTAAACTTGGTAATAATTTTCCATCCCAATGCACGACGAGGAAACTTCTACTTCGCTTATACTGCTATTACTAGGAAAATCTAATTCTAAAATTTCTACAAATAGAACTGTTTAAGAAATTGTTATCTAAAAAATATAAACAATGTAGTTACCCAAAGCTTCCATTTCCACCTAAGATCTTTTTTGCGCTCTTCCAATTGAAGACATTTTTCATTTGATTTTTTCTCTTTATCTGCCAACTTTGAATCAATCCCAATCATACATCCAGGTCGTAGAATTAAAAATGTTTTATCTTCTTGATTTTGTATGATTTCTATCGCATCATTGTCAGGAAGGAAAAAGGTCGTCTAGTGCTTTAAGGAAAGTATCAACCTGTTTTCTTTGAGTCTCCGATTTAGGTTCAGCTAACTTTTGTAAATCCTTCCATTTTTTATACAATATTTGCAATGTTAGTTATGCAGTATTGTTCATCCCTTATAGGAATTCTAGCTTTTTGCCAATATACAGCCAACTCCTTAATTGCTAACTTTGCAATATCACGTAAGTTTAACTTGATATGAAGTTAAAAACAGTACAGAGAACTTGTCGGCAAGGTGGTAAATTACTTCCCACTATCTGATTTGTCACATTCCCGATTAAAACGATTTTATCAGACTGTAAAGGCTATTACGACCCGTCAAATCACATTTAGAAATGTTTTTCGGGCTTTGAAGCCGTGGTCCATGGGAATTTCTTCCTGACGTTTCGTCCACAACTGCGAAGAAGAATTTGCGAACCATCTGAGTTAGAAAGAGAATGGAAATACCTAGAAAGGGCCGTTGGTTGGAATGGATACAGCAAGAACGAGTTTAATAGAGCAACACGACCAAGAAACAGTGGAGGTCGTCCGGAGAAAACAGATACGCATAATGAGCGTAAGGGTTGGGCTTACCTCCCATACATTCCTGGAGTTACGGACAGGATCGGCAGGATACTGGCGAAACACAAAGTCAAAACAGTTTTTAAACCAACTCGAACAATCCAACATTTTGAAATCGGCCAAGGGCAAACGGGATTCTTTATCAGCACCAGGAGTCTACAGAGTTCCATACAGTTGTGGCAGAGCATATATCAGCACCACAAAACGTAGTGTAAACACTAGGATCACTGAGCATAAAAAAAGTTGCAGATTAGGACAAACAGAAAAATTAGCAGTAGCGCAGCACGCACTGCTAGACGGCCATCAACTACGTTTCGATAAGTAGACATTTTGCACCAATCTCAACGGTATTACCCGAGACTAACCAGAGAGGCCATTGAGATCTTTAAACATGACAACAATGTTAATAGGAAAGGAGAGGTAACGGCCTTTAATCCAAATTGGAAACGCATTCTGCGACAAACAGCGTGTGCACCAAAACACTCACGCATGAGTTCACACGGCCGGGCCGCATAAATACGACAGGGGATCCAGTAGTTGAACCGTGGATACAGAGTACCTGCTGGACCACATCCGGAACCTAACGTCAGGGTTTCTGGATAGGATCCGGCATAGCAAGAATCCCACTGTCAGAGTTTCTTGCACCAAGAAGTTCAACTGTGACCGCAGACCTCTCCCTGCGGACACAGTCTAAGAAGCAGACGTGGACCACAAGCGATGACCAGTTCCTGCACCACAACGAAGACCATGGGCTAGATTTAAGTTAGCTTAGGAAGCATTGGAGGATGTGTTAATGTTTAGGTTTAGGTTAGAATAAGCTAGATTAAGTCTTATGATGTCATTTTAAACAACAAGATGTTAGCATTAAGGATCCTTAGAATAACTAGCAGTAAGAATTATGTAAAACTTATCTGAAATAAATATGTTCAAACGTAGTAGTTGAACCAGTCTAAGTCGGAAAGCACGGAGATCACTTCGCCCACTGCCTCATCGCCTTTGATAATGTCCACCGCAGTTGTGGACGAAACGTCCGGAAGAAATTCCCATGGACCACGGCTTCAAAGCCCGAAAAACATTTCTAAATGTAACAAGATTTCATCGCCAATGCGTAAACAAATTATGGATAGCGTCATAATTTAAGAATATTAATTAATACCGCTCTCACAAATAGTAATAGTCACAATTTATTATTTATGGCACATGAATAAGTAAATCAACAACACTTAATACTAACGAGACACTCCCGACAACCAACAAAGACAGACTTGTGTTAATTCGTTTTACGCGTGGGTCACGTGTCATCAACATGAAGCATAAATTAAATACTAATAATAAGCTCAGTGGTAAGTGGTCGTGAATGAGCGTCTATACCCATAATAACTAGAATTTTCAACTGAAAACGCTTTTGAAGTACCAGTAAACATCAAAAAAAGGTTTTAAAAAAGTTGCGGAATGCTTTTTTTACGTAATAGATCATATATAAATGGTCGAACTAAAAAAACTATTAAAAAAATGTAGGATGCATATTAATGCATGCTGGAAGGGTTGAAATGCGCAACAATTATTTTTTTGGTAGTTAAAATAATGTTTTAATGTTGCAGGTGCACTTCGTATAACTGCTTAATTAAATTATATTTAAATTCAATGTTTGTCCTTTGAAAACATTCTTCTTAGATGCGATTTCAGCGCAAATTACAAAAGATTAGGAAAACGTCAAAAAGCATGTAAATTGTTTTAAACCTATACATTTTAAGTAAATGATGAAGTTCATGCTACATTTAATGTTTCAATCCAATTTGACAAAAAATTATTTACTATTTTAATATTAATATTGCTTGTTATAATTTGCCCAGTGCTTTTCTTTACCTCATATAGGCATTCGTAATGTAATGAGTTTTCATTTCAAAATTGGCAAACTTGCAATATCAAGCTCTATCCTCTGTATCCTGCATGTCAGTCCACGTTTCCTCATGATTGGCGTGCTACTAACCTTTCCAGATCCTAGAGCACCGACAAAACTTGTTTCTCCCTCTTTACAGCGCGGCCTCTGCTGTTTTCCAGGACTCCCTAATCCAATCTCTACACAGAGAAAAGGCAAATTACCCAAGCCACTACTGGCGAGTGTGACAGCAGCCAATGAAAGACAACCTTTTGACGGTGGAAATTCAACGTTCTTCACATCGTCCAGCCGCCACGAAAGTGGAGAAATGCTATTACTGGAGAAGCAAGGACGTACATCTCAACAACAACGAATGACTGAACCCAGTGGCATGAATAACGGTCAAGAAAGTTCGAATATTTGCCCGTCGCCCAGTTCATTACCTCGCCCACCGCGTTCTTCACATCGCTCCGGCCTGCCGCGAAGAATCGGAGACTACAACAGGTTGGAAAATACAGAACCTGCGCGCAAAAACTCAAATGGTGGCGACTCTCTTTCGTCAAACGCCAGTTCAAGGCGCCCTTCTCCCGCTCGCTCTTTAATTCAGCCCCCAAGGAAGCTTGGAGAATACGGTAGGCTAAGCGAGAGTGGTGGAAGTTCTGCCAGTCTTCGAAAATATTCTACTAGAGTGAGAAGTGGAAGTACTGGGGAAAGAGACTCGGCGTCAACGCTTAGCGAGAATTCAGCTAGTTCTCTACCAACTCCTTCTAAAGTACGTATGTACGGAGGTGGTTTGAGGCGAGGTAATTCTCTGGGACGCGAGGCCAAAAGCTCAGCTGACCCTAGCAAGTATAGGATTCAGTTCTGAGGCTTCTCTATAATGATCAATTTGTAAACTTGGAGATGTAAATATGGACCTTACTTCGCTGTCGTCGACGCTGCCAAAAACGGTTATTTTTTATACGCTCGTTCTCTCTAAATGTATCGTTTTACATTATAGGTAGTCAAGTTTTCATCTCCAAGATATTTTCCGATGGTGCGAACTTATTTACATGATATGTATGCCCGAAAAATCGAAATTAAGACTATTCTGTGCCTTCTAGATATTTAACTTGAACCTGCCAAAATGTTGATTTCGAAAATTCTCTACAACTATTAGCTGAAAGTAATGTTTTAATTTGCTGTTTTTATGATGCATTATATACTCTCGCTTGACTGTAAAGATTGCCATTTTGTTTCATAACACCACGTTTAGTCAATTATCATTTGTTTGTCATTTTTTTATTTTGCTGGCAAACCAGTTTTTATGTATGACATGACATAAATACATGACCGGTACATTTGACCCGTTCTGTTAGGTCGCGTACCGAACTTTAAAAATCCTGGGTTTCTTTTATTGTCTTCTAATGAATGAAACTACAAATCCAATTCAACTTGTTTTAAATTCGCGAATGTATATGTTGTTGTTTTCCCATTTTAATATGTTGATTTTTGCACGATTTTTTGCCGCACAGGGACCATCAATTTTGCTTCTATTCTAGGTCGAAATTTATTTATAGTGCATTTGTTTGTGTGAGAGATTGATCTCTAATATTTAAATACCAAAAAAAATGTGCCTCTAAATAGGATCTTTTACATCGAAAATATATTGTATTTTGATGTCACTTATCACGAATGAATTTCTGCACTTTTCAGTAATGCCATGTTTAGCATTTGATATAAATACTTTAGATTAGAAACCTGAAGATTTGAAATTACATATTTATTGTTTATTTAAATACTAAAAACTTGTTTATTTTATTATTCGTTCCAAGCGGCCGAATTTCCTTATCGTCATCTGCTAAAATTCCTTTATAAACTATCGTTAGTTCAGTGTCTGTAGAAAGGAGTTTCTGAGCTTAAAATATAACGTTTTAACTAAATTTACCTTAGTTGGCAAAAGTTCAATTTGGTTTTATTTTTGCCTAAAAGAATTTTTTAATAGCTGATGTATTGTTCAATTATTCGGCTATGGGGTTTTTCTCCGGTTGAACGCCTGAGATATCATTTTTGAGCAACATTTCTTACTATCCAGTATGTTTTCCTTTAGAAAAAATCAGTAAGAATTATAGAATACATAGTAAGAGATGTAGAAGGAATTAAAAAATTTACTTTTATTTCAAAACTCAATAAACACCACGTTCTAAATACTATGAATAAACCCCAGATTACATAATAAGGGAATACATAATTATCCGAAAAGTGAGGTTTACCGGAGTAGATCTATGATTATTATGAATTGAGAGAACAACCCGTATTTGGCTAGCAGGGGGAATTACCATATAACTTACATTTTCCTATAGGCCAGGAGGCTTACAGATTGGCATGACTACCCTGATGTATTAGAATGGCTCGCTAATGGTATACCTATTAAAATCATCGAGGCGCGCCAGCTTCAGAAGGTGTGCTATTTGCATAAAAAACAAAAACGTGGAGAAAATGCGAAAACCGCGTTTTTTATCAGAAACAATCGCATATACAGGATGTCCCACCACCCACAAAATTGGACAGTGTGCGAAGGTCATTGGGGGCAAGCGGTCTAAAATATTTTGAAAATGGCTACACTTCCGGTTATACCGGAAGTAGGTATCAACTTGCTTATTTTAAATGGAACACGAACATATTATTACATTTTTGAATTCTACTCCAAATTCTAAATATATTTCATATACAATATCCTGTAGCCAAGTCTAACCGTTTTTGATATATTTGGAATTTTATGTGAAAAATGACAGTTGCAGCCACTCGAATAATTATTAATTTTTCCTATAAGGGAATTTGTCATACTTAATTTGAGTCGCATTTAATTATTGTTGAAAAGGACTTACTTTAATGGAATTTCGAAAACCTTTTTAAAACTATTAATACAAAGTGTTAAAAATGTAAGTTTTAAAATACAGTTGAGAAAACCGCCCAAAATCAATTTTTCCAAATGGAAACCACCATTTTTCATAATTTTGTCATATTTAGTATTAAAAATAAGTGTAAGTTTGTGTAACGATATCTATTCCAAAAGTGATGGCTATTTTGCAGCCCCTTCTTTTAAATCCTGTCACTCTTAGTTGTCATGAGGAACGTGGCCATTTTTAATGCAATCAAATGCCAAAGGAATGCTGACATCTGTCAGTTACCTTTTGGAAATAAGTATTAATCATGCCAGGGCGCTTCAATTATACAAACGACGATTACACTGGTCTGCAAAAAAAATGTTTTCCTCCTCATTGTTTTCACGCATGATTACATCATATTTGGTGCTCTAAACACGGAATTTAATATGAAAATAAATATAACACATAGATTTTAAATATAATGTCCATTTAATAAAAATAAACGATTTTATCAAAGCAACAGAATTACAAAAAAAGTGAAAAAAGGCTTCGGTCTAAGTTACAGCGAAAAATGTTATTTTTACAGTCACAAGTGCTAGAAATGTCAGTATAGTTTTCTCAGTATGGTATAATTCAAATTATTTTGTAATTTTTTTCTTTTCATCGTTTCATTCGATTCGATTCGATCCACTTCAGTCATTTTCATGATTTTGAGGTTCACTCCAAAACATTGGCTTCGTAAACGGTATAGATTTGTGACTTCCTTTAAGCAAACCTCTCAACGTTCTGGAACAACTGTTACAGCAAATTTTTGGCAACCAACTTTTATCCCTCTGATCAATAGAAAATCCAAAATAAWGCTGATAASMTTTTTTAACAAGATCTGTGATAGCATTTYGCTGTGTTTTTAGAGTAAACTTACCACAAATGTAGCAAAACCAGTCTGTAGAACTCGTAAAGTGCGCGGCGTTTTATAACCTAAAATGTTATTTTTTGTTGAAACGGGTGATTGGAATTGAAACTGATCAAATGGTCCGTCTGAGTGGGTTTACTAAAAATGTCATAAGCTATTATAATAATAATAAGTTAAGATGCTGGTTGTCAATAGATACCTGCAGATCCAAAAAACTTAATTTATTTTCCACTTGAATTTCAATCGTGAACTGTGTGGTATTGTTGATATTATTAAGAAAATTAAAAAAATAATGGGAACAATATCGTCCACATAGATATGTTCAGATGAACCCACTTCTTGTTGAACAAATAATATACAGGGGGGGCCCTCCAGACTCCTCATTGCTTGCAGCAAAATCCGAAATATTATTTGGTATCACGTAGATCACCAGAACCAGAATTTAAATTTTTTGAGGATTGTACAGGGTGTGAACAAGGCACTGATCAACGTTTTCATTTTTTATGCCCTGTATTTTCTTGCAGATTTGGATTCTACGGATAAAAAAGGTAGATTCTATATTAGTTTCTTCCTGTACCTATAAATTGCAGTTTAAAATATTTAAGTTAATTCGCAAATATTGGCGAGAAAGTAATAAGTAAGTAATAACAATTACTGACCAACTATTTTGAGGAGCATTACACCATCCAAAAATCGCCATAGAACAAGGGAGCCATATAGGGCCAGCAATGAACAATGCTAAATTTGTTATACCTATTTGAAGTTATAACTGTTTTTCACATTTAGGAATGTTTTCCGGGCTTTGAAGCCGTGGTCTATGGGAATTTCTTTCTGACGTTTTGTCCACAACTGCGGTGGACATTATCAAAGGCGATGAGGCAGTGGGAGAAGTGATCTCCCATGCTTTCCGACTAAGACTGGTTCAACTGCTGGATTCCCCGTCGTATTTATGCAGCCCAGCCGTGTGTGC